TTATCGATAAAAAAAATATGGTTTCATAGGTTCACGCTTCTATATTCGTTATTCGCGAACGAAACATTCTCAACTCCGTTATAGAGCCCGTCTAAAAATATGAAATGATTAAGAGCCTACGAAAATTGAGGATAGAAACCTCGAGCACAACCTGTATGTAGAGTGAGTCAAGTAGCCGAGGTTCTTCGTTCTTACGGTTTTCAAAAATTTCTCCTTTTCGATTCTTTTAAAGTCGTTCTTTAAGTAGCGCGTTGATTTCGACTTTGTCTTATTTTTTTCTATCGTTTAGTTGGTATTACGAGCGGTGTACATTTAGGTACAATACGGAAAGAAAAAATATTGATCGCTCAAGATGATCGATCGTGCCTTCTCGCCATCCATTCACTGCTTTTATATCTTTGCTCTGTACTTCCTTATTCCATCGCATCCGAGGAAAAGAAAGTGCAGTCATGCGAGTGCTTACATGCTCTCAGGTTCTCAAATAGAAAGCTGGCTGGCGCGTCGGAGAAATGGAAATCGTGTTTGGGCGTTTTACAGCCGGGGAAATGGCTAATTAAGCACACTACCCATACAGGCAATACTGTTACGAAAAATGCATTATGCCTTATCAGGTGAAAATATTTCGACAATAATGTTTGCTCAGCTTTCATTTATGCGTATTAAGTTAACAATGATCGCATTTATAGAAAGATAGACAGCAAAAATGTTCGTCATACAGGAACGTAAAAAATAATTCAATTCAGACGAAGGTGACGTTAAGCTTCCACTCGAAAGTGAAGATGATCTTGAGAAATTTTACGTGAAATCGATGACTTTGCAAAGAAAATGGTGTGTTTTGAATACCACGTACGAACAACTAAAGACGTGGAGGTATCGCTTACAATTCCAATACGATACTCGCAGCGCGGAGTCGAATTACAAAATCAACATTTTTGATCTTGCATTTTATACAGTTATATTATATTTAATTTATTATAGCTTTTATAGTAGTAGTTTTTATGTTATTGAATGTTATTGTTAAATAATATTCGATTAGCAGAAAAAAGGAAAGACGCAATGTAACGCATGAAAATAATTAAACATTGCGATAATCGTTTGATCCGTAATTATTTACGTTAGCACTGGCTTTGCCGATTGTTACGATCATGTTGTGTAGAGGCTATTATCGTCGAGATGTTCTATAGCGAAAAGTAATCGTCGATCAGTGTTAGTTTACGAGATATAACTATGACGAGAGAAGCTACGACAATAAGTATAGTGCGCCTTTACGGCTGCATGGGCATGCGGTTGCGACTCGCACGCGCGTCGGGTTGCCTGTTGTTAAGGACACTTCAAGGGGAAAGACTCTATACATTTACGCAGCCCTGTGCCTAGCTATTCTCTCGCCCCTGGTAACAACGTTTTGCACTGTAACAAATTTGGTGTTGAATCTCTGATGAAAAAATCGAGGTAGATGAAATCATTCGAATAATTGGAGGAATTATTATTTTTATTGTTTTACCTTGATAACCATGTAGAATAGTAGTACAAACAATGTACAAGCACATCGAACAGTTACAGAATGTAATGTAATTCTAACAAGTGGTCCGTGAGTCTACGTCTCGGTACTTAAAGGTTAACAAAAACATAAATAAACATACTAGTATTTTTTTTTTAGGTGTTTATATTAATCCAACTATGGTAGTTGTTCGTCACGATGACTGGGACACCCTGTATAATTTGATTCATTCATGTCTCGGCCTCGTTTCGCTAAATCAGCGAACAAGCAATTCGCGAGAGTCATTTGTTGTCGTCGGACAATTCACGGGGAAGCCATTTATAAAGTTTCCGCATCTTCTCGACTGAGAGACGAGGTGAACTTTATTCGAAGAATAGATCACGAATAGAATCAACCGTATCGCGATTAACGTTTATTCGACCGAATAAGTTTATATTTGATTTAATTCTTGCGAAACTATGAAAGTCACAAATATCAACGAAAAAATTGAATATACGCCATACAATTTCATTAAAAAAAAAAAAAAAAAAATCTTAGAAAACCCTGCATCTTCATAATAATAATAACATTTGCCTTTTATAAAACGTTTCAAGAATAGACTACCCTCGAACCGTTCTTTTACGGTAAACTTTGTTTGCCACTTTGCATATAAACACAATACTAACGTGTACAGAGATTCCTGAATGAGATAAAAGTGACGAGACACGATCCAACCGCGTGCGTGGCGCATGTGCCTTCAAAATCGATTTCCTTGAAAACGAAACCTCGTGGAAAAAATATATTGTATGTTTTCAATTCAATTTCACTCGTAGAACATTTTTTTATCGCAACATTCGGTACTGGCCGCTCTCTTCGCGATAATCGTAAAATTAAAACGAAATCTATGTTTTATAAAATGTTCTAGTTTTTTGTTTTTTAAATACCAAAGATTGAGAGATGAAATAAAAAAAAATATTGCGAAGTATATTATACAGTGTTATACGGCGAAAGGGTAAATTATCCGTGTAAACCGAAAGGTCTTCAAAAAGGTCAAAGCATCGAGCTGAAATCCGCAATTCAAATGTTAAGCACATATTTTTGATAACTCTGTTAAATGTCGAGCAATATTAAAGGTGAAATGCAACGCTTGAACGTTATATACAAATGAAATCAAATAATAAACCATAAATCAGTGGAAATACTCAATCTGATACGAAGCGATGATATTGGACCGCTGCAATTTTAATCATTACCATTGTATTATCAAATTATACGAAGACAGAACATTTAATTAAAATTTTGCCGATTCTTACAATAATCAACATTGTTGTACCACATCGAGCATATAAGAATAACAAACTTGCAGAGGTTAGTGTACTCTGGATACATCGAAAAACAATACTTAGGCAAACTAGATTGCTTGATTTTGAAAGTTTTCAAGTCTGGTAATTAAATTCTAATTTTTCTAGCTTCTTGAGGCAGTTACGCCTAGATCAGCTGGGAGTATGTACAGGCGTGCATTCAAAGGAAGGTGGTAGTAGATGTAAGGAATGCAATCATGGTCCTCATCCTTCAAGGGGATTCCTATTATTATAGACTAAAATTGATAAATACTTTTCATACGTACAAAATCCTACCAAAGAATTCAGAGAAACGAAATAATATAGCTAAAGGAACAGGTTTATTTGATTAAAATGAAAAACAAATAGTATATTATTAGAGTATTAACGATCGCTACGCGTTATCTTTTACATACAAAGTTTTCATGCACTGCCCCTAGCTTACCCCTATCGTTTTACACAGCTCGAAAATACAAATTTCGTTATTGATTAAATTTACATCGCTCATCTCGTGTTTGTGATTGTGAGCTCGGTAAACTAATAGTGTGACAACACTAACAAAATCGATCCCGTTTTAACTGGAATAAGTGACGAGCAGTCGTGTGCGATTAACTGACACGCGTTTATTTACATTTCTACCTGACACTTTCTTCCCTCCAAAAGTGAACGCCAATAGCTGAACGCCTCTACCCGACGATACACTCTGACGCCACAATCCAAATACAATAACAACAAGAAAAAGGTGAAGAAGGTACGACGAACTACATGGTAAACGAAAACACACACGGTTCAACGAATCGTCTGGTTCTGCTTAGAGCGAATGTCAGTGTGGCCACCTTGGGTTTACAACGAGTCCGTCCAAAGCGCGTTTTCGTTTGAGTGTCAACAGAAGAGAACGGACGTGTCATGCCCTACCTTTGTACTGAGCCTGCACGTCCATCATGTTTTTCGACGATGACGTTTACGGAAAAACCACGTAAATTCTTCTATCTGAAGTCAATGGATCGCATTTGCCACAGCACACACGATAGTCGATAAACGCAGACCGTTGATACTGGCAAATGCGCCGTAGCGCCAACCGCGTACCTACGGCTCGAATATACATGTATATAGGTATGTATATGTATAGGTATACATGTACCTAGGTTTCGTGTGGCTATTCGTATGTATAAACACTAATTGTTTCGCTTGGTGCCCAACGTTCTTCTTGGAAGCGAATAGGGTAAGAAAAAAGAAAACTGCCGATAACTATTCTTTCTACGGAATACAATGGGTTAACCCATCAACCGCGGACAACGTAGAATTCCTAGGAAGCACCTATTCGCGATTTTTACGAGGGATGCTTGGCAACTCGACAATTTGAAACTTTGCACAAATATTCAAGCAGTTCAAGCAGTGGTAATAACCTAATAATTTCGTTGTTTAAATAACGAAACCCTCAACCATCTAAAAGAAATTCTTTTTCTTCTCAACCGTGTATTCTATGACAATTCTAAACAAGAAATCCCGCGTTTATTGGTTTCGATATCGGTAAAACAGATGCAAAGGATGCTTTCCTAAATTTTGTTCCTAATCCTTTCGTGTCATATAATTTAACAGTAGCGAGAGCGTCATGAAAATGATCTACGTTATCATATACACGTGTAGAGTGCCTTCTGTCACATATGAATCAGCTGTTATCACCTGTTGTATCGCAATGTACATATATCGTGGCAAGCTTCAATGAGATTACTTTCTATACTACTTAGTCTTTCAACAGGTATACACACACTTTTCTCTCTATAGTATTATAATCATTCTTAATTATTATGCATGATGTATTTGCGTAGTAAATGAAGTGCTGAATGAAAGGGAAAAAGAACGAAATGATACTTTACAAGCACAAAGATATGCGAGGTTCCTGTTCGAGAAGCAGTAATGGTAGACTAATGTATAAAGCTTTTCACTAAAATATATTTTTTTGTTTCTGAAACAGCAGTAATCTCTCTGCTGATGAAACTATTACTGTAGGTTGTATTTGGATTCTGAGTGCAAAGCCTTGTGCAACCCACAGATCGCACGTCCCTGCATGAACATCACCATTAGATAAAGCAGATTATGTAAACAATTTGTGGGTTTTTCCGCCCCCAAAACATGCTATAAACTACTATGTAGATTTTGTTTAAGTTGAATTAGTTATATAACGATTTAGTCGAATTTATTTGATATATCGATACTTAAAAAGTGCAGTTCTCATGGAAGAACTTGTGAGAATTTACACCTATGTGTCTCCCTCTGGTGTGATATTGAGAAAGTACCATCACGCTTGGAATGTCCAACTGTTTCCGGCTGCGAAAAGAGTTATGTAGACTTTTCATTTGAAAGTGTAGATTTCACGACATTCTCCTGTAGTTATCGATAAAGTTATTGTAAATATTGTAAAGTTCGAACAAAAGTGGACATGCATGTATTCTTTGTTGGTTATACGGGGATGTAATTGGTGAAAGCAAGTCAGCAAAAATATGTGCACGAATAGTGACGTGTTCCCATCTTGACAATTCCAGGAATATAAATAAAGGTAAATTGCTTTTATAACTTGCTTCCTTTTAGAGAAATCGATGTATTCGTCGCACCTATATACGAATTAATCTCTTTGTAATTGGCGTTCATTTTTCCCCACTAAAAATAATTAAGATTCATATATCTTCTATCAACATAGATTACGTCATTTCGCTACGTGTTCGAAATAATTTCCTAAATTTTATTTACGCTTTATGACGTTGATGGTACCTTCTGTAGTTGTGTACAATTCGTCGAGGCGAAACACTTTGAGGTTAACTTGGGCGTCTTATTAAAGACCCATATGTATTACGTTCTTATCAACGTTATTCTTTAAACCATTTGTGTACTCTACTTTTAAGATTTATTATGAACATTAAATAAATAAATATTTTTATTTTATTCAATTCCTTTCCCAATATTTTCATACTCATGTCATCCAAGTATTGTATAGACTATTATATGTACATATATATGTATATTGTAATTCCTAAAATATTAAAAACTGAAAACTATAATTATGAATGAAATATTGTCACATTTTTTGTTAAAATTGTCTTGTATTATGTATGAGAAACAATTATTGTAAAATGGTTTCAAATTTGTATATATTTCTTTATCCGATACTTTATATAAGGTATCATTGAAAAAGTTCAAGGTTTCTACTTAAATGCTACGTTGCAGCATTAAATATGTTCCAAGGTAATCTGTATATATTATGACATTCGACATCTATACACAAAGATAATATAATTAGTTTACCCCAGCCAAGCTTTCATCCAATTAGTCTGTAAAAATGAGAGCAGTGGGTGACACACTGTCTGATCACTTTATAGAAACTTTCACTGCCATTGACTTAGTAATTTCTCATTATCAAGAGTTCAAGTGTATGTTATTTGAATTATAATGAAGTGGTTTCTATTGTTGGTAATTGTGCAGTTCATAATGTGGGGTATGTCAGAAGAACCACCAGGATCGAAGGAAGCAGAAGAGTCCGAAGCTGTGAAAGAGGAAGAAGGAATGTGCGAAGCAAGTAAAAGTCAAGTGGAATCTTTTAAAGAAGTTATGTTGAAAAATAAGCCAACTTTGAAAAAGGAAGAGGAGGTTCAGGTAATAAAACTTGTTTTATAAAAAATAAATGGTATATTGTAGGTAGAGTATATTATATGAATTACAATTTAAATTTAGGAATATGCTAGAAGACTTTCAAAAATTAAATCTAGAGCCAAATTATCTCGTCGAAATAAAGAGGGAAATTCATCTAAAGACAAATCGCGTACATTAGATGTAGCTTCGGCTGACACATCTGAAATAACTATAGATGATATTAGCCAAGCAAAAACTGCGAAAGCAAAGTCTACTTTACTCCAAAGAAAATTAGCAGAGGATAGAAAAGTATTTGAGCAACGTACCAAGGAAAGAACTGAAACTAAACGTGCAGTAGAAGAAAAGGTAGAAGCCATTAGGCAACAATTGGAAGAAAAAGATGTACCTAGGCCTGACGTGATGATAATGGGTTTACAAACAGATCAGCTATCCATTACACCTATTAAACCAGTCATGATTACATCAGAAGTCATGTCGCCGATACAAATCGAAAATATTCGAGAGAAAGAAAGCAAAATTTCGGAACTTAACGATAGAATTTTAGAATTAGAGGCCACTGTCGTTGATCTTCAAGAAAATTTGAAAGAAAAAGACTCTGTCATCGAATCGAAGACAAAGGCAGTCACGCTTATGTCCGCGGACCTTTCCAAAAAAGGTAAAACGACGTTAGACACCCTCGAAGATACGAAAGATGAAATGCGAACCATGCAAGAGCATTTTGTACTTTTAGAAACATCATTAAAGAATAAGAACGAAAATCTCTTAATGCAATTACAAGAAAGAGATAACAAATTAATGGAATTAGAAGAAATAATTAAACGGTTCGAGCAACAGGCTAACGAGCAAAAATTGTCCGAATCGGCTAGTGCTGACTTTTCTCGTAATACAATGGATACTTTAGTGGAGACTAAAGAAGCCATGAAATCGATGCAGGAAAATTTTGTGCTTATAGAATCTTCCCTGAAAGCAAAGAATGACAATCTTCTTCAACAATTGCAAGATTACGAATTAAAACTAGCGGAAGCTAACGAACGAGTATTTAAACTAGAATCTGGTTTCGGAATAGAAAGAGATCCAACGATCGAAGATTTGCAATTTAAATTAGAAAAATTAGAAAGCAGTAATAAGCAATTACAAGATGAGAAGTATGAATTGCAAAAAAGTGTTGCTGATCTTCAAGATAAAATTGTAAATGTGTCCGTGCACGGTAACGGAGCAGTAATGGAAAAGGATAATAGAATAGTCGAACTTGAAAACTTGATAGAGGAATTAAAGCAATCTAATACGCTTCTCGAGGAAGAATCTAAAGTAGAATTACAAAAACAATTAGCAGATTTAACATCGAAAAATGAAGAGTATACAAACAAAATAACCGATTTTGAAAATTTGGTACACAAACTTGAAGAACAGAAAAGTGATATCGCGTCTAGATTACCAGATGAAAGTACCGTTAAAGAAGACGAAAAAGTGGCGAAACTCTCCAAGGAATTAGAAGATTTAAACAAGAGTATGATCAAAATTAAAGCTCAACATAGAAGCAAAGTAAAAAACTTACAAAAACAATTGGAGAATTTCAAAATGGTGAGGCATTTTAATATAACGATTTATAATTATATTGCAATAGAATACATATATATGGTGTTATGATTCAGGTGTCCGACACAAATGCGGAACTTGTCAGACTGGCGAATCAAGTGGCGTTATTAGAGGAGGAGAAAGGTAACCTTCAGCTGAGTCTGGTAGACTTTGACGAGCTTAAAGGTAGGAACCAGGACAGAAATTCTGTCATTGCTGTTTCCATTGTTCTAGTTTTGTTACCAATTGTACGTGCAATGCGTTGTCCGTTTATATTATTCTCGAAGGTTTACTATCCACAGCCCTATTTTCCTTGCTGCGGAAAAATTCCGATGTTTGTGTACATATATTTGATAATACGTGCACTAAAGCACTTGTAATGTATTCTATTGTATTTTTTGAAGACTGATTTTATACAAAATAGTTAGAACGAACTGTCGATATTTATTTTACTCTTGATTCTTACTCCAAGAGAAGTATCAATATTGAGACAGTTATATTTACGCTAATTTTTGGTGATGGAGTCCTGTTACATAGTTAGTTAGGTATATACTAAATTTTTAAAATATTCATTCAGAATACTAATCAATTATATTAAATATCTTTTAATTAATATAACATGGTACCTACTTTACTTGTCAAAGTTTGCTACACTCTGATTTGTAGAAGTAGACTTACTCTTTAGAATGTAATATTTATATCTCACATACATTTTGGTATAATTAACTTATTTGCATGAAAAATTAGACAACAGATTTTCTTATTTTAAAAAAATCATCTACACATTACAATTTAAAGTATGAATAATGTTCTACTACACATTAACAAATAAATAAGCGGCACTCAAAGTAACACATAAATCAATTTTTTATTTATTTTTAATTTGTCAATTGCTTGCTAATTTCATCTGTTTAAGGCTATTAATTAAAAATACTAATGCTTTGAAAACAGTTAATATAAATAATATAATATCGTTGATTCAAACGTGCTAAATTTTTATTTATATGTTTTTAACTTGCTTGCTTTGCACTTACTATCAGTTAATATCAATTATCCGTAATGTCAATTATACATGTCATTAGCATGTTGTACAATTTATACAGCCTCAGCAGGAGACTGGCAAGAACGCATTGTCGACCTCGAAAGTAAAGTTTCTGTTCAAGCGGAAGAAATTCAAATGCAAATTGAAGCCATTGCCGCTTTGGAGAATCAAAAATTGGATCTAATTCAAGGTAATTATCGAATTAATTTACATATTAATTTTGAGACTACATAAATATCGAACACAATTTCTGCACTACGAAAATGATCTGTGTTTCAGAACTTCACGCAGCAAAACAGGAAATATCATCGTTAGAAGTGGAAAATGCAGAATCTGAGAATCTCCGAGTAACGGCGGAAATGAAAGTCGTTAATTTAGAAGAACAATTAGAAGCTGTCCATAAATTGAAGAATGAAAGTAAATTAGAACCTTCGTCAGGAGCTAATGAAGAAGAACTGATTAAACGGATAGAAACTTTAACCCAAGAAAACAGTGAGCTATATAATAGAATATCGAAGTTGGAAGAAAAAGGTGCTTCTGAATCTGGATCCACCGAGTCGTTTGAAGCCATACAAGAATTGGACAAAAGTGATTTGTTGAAGAAGATCGAAGATTTGACACATAAAAATAACGAATTAACCCTTAAATTGAATAAAATAAATGAAAGAGAAAATGCCCACGTTGAATTTACAGAACCGTTCGAAGAAAATGCTGACTTGACAATGAAGTCGAGTCAAATAGAGGAGAAAGGATCTTCCGACACGGGTTCGACGGAATCTTTCGAACGTATTCCGGGTCACAATGAAAACATGACGAAAATCGAGCTCCTTACCCAAGAAAATCACGAACTAGTAATTAAGCTTACGAAACTGGAAGAACAGTTGGAATATATAGAAGCAAGTCGAACGACATCTAGGTTAAGTGATGATTTGCAATCAAAAGTTGATACTTTGTTAGAAGAAAATAATAATCAATCCTCGGAATTGTCTAAACTTAGAACGCAACTATCGGAACTCACCGAAGAAAATAGTAATTTACAAAAACAAATCGAAGCATTAACAGTAGAAATCTCTTCTATCAAGCCAGAGGATTCGTTGGAGAGATCGAAGAGGGAAATTGATTTTACAATGCAAATCGACGAATTAATAGAAGAGAAAACTCTCCTTCAAAAGGAAATAAAAGAATTGCGTAACACCTTGGAACAATCACACGACGTCGCTGCTCAGGATCTTGAAATGATTAACTTGAAATCGAAAGTAGAAGAATTGTTGAAAGAAAAGGAAGAACTGAATCAAGAAATACAGAAACATCACGAACAAATTAACACGCTACTAGAAAAATCTAATAAAGAAACACCCGAAATGCCACAGATGGATGAATCTGTGTCCCATCTGCATACAGAATCGATGATCGCTACTTCTCTAGAACGCGAAATAGAAGAATATAAAAGATTGATCGCTGAACAAACTGGCCTAATCGAAGAAATGAAAATTAAACTTGCAAATAAAGAAGAAGAATTAGAAGAGAAAAGTAAGCAGATCGTAGAATTCGAAGCATTCGAAGAAAAATTTAAGAGGTTAAAAAATGAATTGAAAGAAATGGAGGAAAAATTAGAGAAATTATTGGTAGAAAAAACTTCTATCGAAGAAGGATTCAAGGTTTTACAAAATGAAAATCAATTGTTGCTTGAAGAGAAGAAAGACAAAGAGACAGAAAATAATTTATTGAAGCAACAAATGCAAGGTATAGCTTTATATGAATCGAAAATCCAAGAACAGCTTACAGCGATATCCGAAAAAGAAAATGAAATCGCTATGTTAAAAGATATCGTTGAAGAAAAGGATCAAGAACTGCACGCAAAGTATACGGAATTACAAAATAAAATGATTACAATAGACAGTTTGCAAGACGAGTTTAATAATTGTAAAATGTTAGTTGAAGAAAAAGATGCTTCGCTTACGTCGATGTCTAGCGAAGTTGCAAATCTTAATGATATAATAAGGAGTAAAGAAGAAGAAATATATTTTTTACAAAAACATATTGCAGAATTAAACGACAAAGTAAAGGAATCAAAACCTTTGAAAGAGTATAACGAACTATTGGAACGACTAAAAAGTAGGGATATGAGTTTAGATGAAATTCAGTATAACATCAACGCGACCACGAAAGAGAACAGGAATTTATTAGAAAGAGTCAAGAATCTGTCTCAGCAGAACGATGATATTCAAAATCAATTAGCAGAAAAGCAACAGGAACTTGACGATTTAATTGCGACAAAAGAACACTTGGATGCACAAATTGTAGAATCTAAAAATGATAAAGCTGAAGCCGAAAGAAAAGCTTGGGAATTGCAGAATATTATAGATACCAATGCTAAATTTGTCGAAGATTTGCAAACGGAATTGAGGACTGGATACAAACAAATAGAACAACTTAAAGTGAAGCATATGGAAGATATGGAATTACAAAATCAAAGACTCGAAAGTCTAATCGAAGAACTGAATTTCAAGACGCAGGAATGTGAAACATTAAAAGCCGAATTACAAGAAAAAGAGAGACTGATCGGAGAAAACGTGACGGAAGAGGTTAAAGTTGCTTTGGAGTCTAAGATTACTGATTTGGATCAGAAATTGAAAGATTCTGAAGATAAAATACAAATGCAATTAGAAAAGATGAAGAAAATAGCAGCAAATCTAAAGAAGAAAACAGCAGTATGCCAGGAACTCGAGACAAGGGTCACTGAACTTGAAGAGAAATGGATGACTGAAAAGGACGAGAAGGAAGCTAAAAACAAACAAATTCAGGATGTAGAAATTTCGATGCGCGAGAAGGATAATAAAATTGCAGATTTAGAAGAAAAGTTAATACAGGCCAGAGACGAGACTGCAGAATCTATTAAGAACATCGCTGAGCTCGTAAGCGAGTTGAACAGTACAAAAGAGAAGATGTCTTTGCATGCGCAACAAATTACAGAAATGGGAGCGGAAATTGTAAGGCTAGGGGCAGAGCTGGATCTTGCAAAATCTAAGCTTGACGTAGAAAAAGGAGATAAAGAAGCTATCTTGTCGGAATATGAAAGTTATAAGCAACGAATTGCCGAAGAAAATGAACATAAACAATTAGAACTAGACGAAGTGAAGGAAAAAGCGAGAGAACTTGGTGTACGAATGCAAGTTATGGAGGCAGAGTATGTCGAACAGCTTGCAACAATAGAGAATCTTAGAGCTGAGAGTGGTTTATTGTTATCAAAGCAAACACAAATCAATGAGAAGTTAGAAAATGCAGAAAAGGAATCGGAGGAACGAAGAGTGTTAATCGAACAGATGCAAAAGGAAGTTGTTACTAACGTGACTGAGACTACGCAAACTCCAGAAGAAGAAATTACCGATGATTATATGAAGAGTATTGGAGTACAACATTGCAGTCATTGCGAGCAATGTCAAACGCTGGTGCAAGCACTGGAGGCAAAATTACAGGAGCGAGAGGCAGAAATCGAGAATTTAGACAACGAGTTAGCTAATTCGATTGGCAATTTCGTACAAATGCGGGAGTCTCTTAGGTTCAACGATGTGATGAATCAGACTAGTATGAGGGATAGAGCATTAGAAGATCCTTACAACGAACTTTTATTCAAGTATAACACATTGACAGCGAGTTACGAAGAAATAAAAACAAAATTAGACCAGTTGTTAAAGGAAAATAAAGAGTTAGTGGACACGGTTGAAGGTTTACGAACTGCGAATGCTACTTTAGAAGAAAAACTTGGTGCCACGGATCAAACCTTGGAAGAAAATCAACAAATCGCGGAAAGGTTACAGAGCGTTGATTCCTCAAATTCCGATTTGGTCAAGAAATGCGAGGATCGCGAAACGGAATTGTTGAACGTGCAAAAAGAAATGCAAGTTGTTCAGGAACGTGCAAATCAACTGGAGGAACAATTAAATTCCCAGATAGCTCTATTTAAATCCGAAGAGGAACAACGAATAGAAATAGAAAAATTGTTACAAGATATGAAAAGCAGGTTTGAGCAAGAAATCGAGTCCTTAAAAACCGAAAGGAATGACAATCGGAAAGCAGTAGAAGACTTGAAGTGTGAGTTAGAGACATACAAAAATCAGAAGAGTACAGAAAGTACAGAAGAATCTGTAGATAAATCAACGATAGTTAAGAGAGAAGCACCTATGTTTGACTTCCCACAAACCGAACAAGATAACGTGCCTCAGTTGTTCGATGCATCCAAAGTTTTTGGTACATTATCTAGTTCTGATTCAGATCCGTTGAGCGATATACAAGTGAAGAGATTGCAGACCTTGTTGGATGAAAAAGAAGCACAGTGTTTTAATCTTACTCAAGAAATCGATCACTTACAGAAAATAATGGTCGAAGAAAGATTGCAGGTATCGCAAAACTACAGTCAACGAGTAGAAGAATTAGAAATATCCCAGAAAGAGTTGCATGCAGCGCGAGAACATTTGGAAAAACTGGAGCAAGTTTTAATGGAGAAGGATAGGCAGATTGATTCTTTGAATGCAGAGCTACATAATTTCAGCCTACGAATGATGGAACAACAGAACGATACAGACAATAAATTCAAGGAGTTATCGTTAGCTAGAGACGATCAAATACAAGAATTAGGGACAAGTTTGAATGCAACGAAAGAAGCATTGGAAAAGCTAGTTCTTGAACGAGACCAACAAAACGTCTTGTTGGACACGTACAAATCGCGAATCATCAATTTGGAAGCAGAATTGAAAAATTCAACGGATCCTGAATTGGTACAAGACTTGGAGCATCGCACTTTGAATATCACGAAAGAGAGAGATTTGTTGCAGTTGCAGGTGAACGATTTGTCCAGATCGTTGGAGGAGATGAAGGAGTCGATCGAGGTTGGAAGAAATTTACGTATGGAGATCGAGAAAGTTGCGCGTGAAAGGGACGAAGCGAAAGAGCTCGTCGCGAATCTCACGCGAGGTTTGGAGGAGGCTTATAAAAATTCTGATAAAACATCTAGTGTTACAGATACATCTACCAAAGAATCAACGCCTTTGGAAGAATCCACGGTTGCACAAGTCGAACCAAGCACCTCAAAAACCTCGGACACAGGAGCTGAATCCACGTGGGACGTGGGCTGCACTGAAAAATTCAACGTCGACGAAGAAGCCTGGGATTGGACTGCGGATACTGCACAGTTGACTGGCGAACTTACCACCACGATAGTCCCTAGCACGGAAATGCAGTTGCGAGCAAAGGTGGGCGACCTCGAAGACCAGATTAAAGAATTGGAGAATGAAAAGGAGAGGTTACTCGTGGAAAACCGAACCGCTCAACTGAGAAGCGCAAAGATGATCAAGAAACTGAAAGAGTACAAGGTGCAGGTGGAGAGTCTTCAGCAACAGCTGAAGATACAGAAATCCGCCAGCGACTTCTACGAACTCGACTCAGCTATAGAGGAAGAATTGAAGTCTCAAATCAACAAATTGGAGAAGGCGTTGAACGAAGTCAAGGAAGAGCAAAAAACCGCTGTCGCCGAGAAGGAGGCTTTAACGAAACGCTTGGACGTTCTTGTTTCCGCGAACGAAAGGTACTTGGAGATGAAAGAAAGACAGGACATGGATATGGACGTGTTGCGTATACGAAACAAAGAGCTGTCCGATAAAGTCGAGGCTCTGGATAAACGACTGCAAGAAGTAGGCGACGTTGCTCGAAGCGAAACCGTTGCCCCGAAAGAAGAAGCGAAACCGATCGAACACGATCGTCTTCAGAAAAGATCCGCCCAGGGAGAAGACCTGGAGAACCTATGCAAGAAGTACAAGGACGAAATCGATGATCTCAAGGACGAAATGGAAGCCCTGGCAACAGAGAACGAACAGCTGCAGCACTATTTAGAGGAGCAGAAGGTGAAATTATCCACCTTCGAGTCGAAACGAACAGCGGACGAAAACGAATCAATCCAGATCGTCGACGATCTGAACAAAAAGATTTCAGAATTGCAAGAGATGTTGAGCAAATCCAGAGATGAGTACGAGTCGCTGAGGAAGCAGTACGAGCAGAGCCTGATGGACGCCAACGATCAAGTGTCTGCAATGAGGCAGAACACGGATTACCTGAAGGAAGAGGCGTTCGAGAGGACCAATAGATTGGAGAAGGAAGTAGCCGATTTGCGTCAGCAGCTCGATGTGTCCTCGATGACCGCAAACGAATCGCAAATGAAATTGGAGAAAGTTCTTGGAGAAAAAGCGGCTCTAGAAGGGAAGCTGACAGAGTTGACGTCTACTTCGGAGAAAGAATTGTCCACGATTGGTGCATCGATGGCAGAGGTAACCGAACTCTTGCACGTTAGGATACAGGAAGTTGCCGAATTGAAACAGGAACTTCAGAGGCAATACGTGGCTCACGAAGAATCGATGGCGCAATTTCAGAACACTGTACAGCAGCTGAGCAACGAAGCGACCGAAAAGCAGCAAGAGGTAGAGAGTTTGAAGAGATCTCTCAGCGACAAGGAAAACGAGTTAGCTCGACAGCAGAGCACGGAGACTGTCGATGCTCTTATCAACCAAGCGACTCAAGAACTTACGCAGAGGCAAGCGATGGAGATGGAAGAGAAGGAGAAAGAGGTGAAGCAACTGAACGAGAAAATGTCTGCGTTGGAAGTGGCGATAAACGAGTATCTAATAGAGAAACAAAACAATGCTGGACAGTTCGATGCTCAGCAACAGGAACTAGAGCAACTGAAGCAGAATTTGGTGGAAAAAGAATCAGCCCTGGTGTTCTTTCAGTCGAACTTAGACTCGATGAGAGAACAGTTGACTGGAAAAGAATTGCAGGTATCGGAGAACGAGGAAACGATTACGAAACTCTCAGCAGAGAATCGGGGGTATATGGAAGCGATCGGTGAATTACAGAAACGTTTGGGCGAGCTAGAAGCAACCTCCACTCATTTACCCGAATTTGCTTCGCGTGTTCAAAGTTTGGAGCAAGAGCTTCAATACGCAAGGATCTGTCTGGCAGAGAAGGAATCGGTTCTGGAACGATACGCGCAGGAATCCATGGAGTATAAAGTAAGGTTGGAGAACAGCAACACTGAAATTACCCAGCTTTACGGAAAGTTAGAGAAAATTGACGCAGTAAAGAACGAGTTGCAGAAAAAGACTGAACAGGTGGACCGTTTAAGTTCGGAGTTGGAAGCCACTGGTAAAGTACTCGAAGAGACTCGACAGAGTTTGAACGAGAAGGTGTCCTTGTTGGAGAGGACCAATCAAATGCTGAACGAGAAACAAATGGAATTGGACAGGTTGTCGACCGTTCAGCAAGCTGAACATCAACGCGGTGCCTCTAATATAGTTGACGGTTTACCTCTTTTCAAAATGCCGGGCGATGATCAGGATCTGCAGCATACGATAGATTCCATGCGGGCCGATTTAGACAAGAAGCAAGAGGAAATCGACCATCTGAAATATATTTTGAACGAGAACACGTATCCCAGTATAATTCAGGAGATGCAAGACAGGATCAATTGCTTGTACAACGAAAAAGCCGAGTTGGAGTCTTCCCTGGAAGTGGCCACGTTGAGAGCCGAGGAGAAGGAGAAGCAAATCGATGGTTTGAAACAGCAAATCGAGACTCAGAGCCAGGAGTTGGGAATTTCCAAAGAGGAATCGATTTCTCTTTCCAGGGAGAGAAGATCCGTTCAAGATCAGGAGGAGATCGTCAAACTACAGAACGAGTTGCATGCTAAAGAGCAAGAAATCAACGATTTGAGGTATGTGATAGCCGAGAAAGATTCTCAGTTGTCCCTTCAAGCGAGCATGGAACCTCAGTCGGACGATTTCGAGCTGCGTGAAATGGTTCAGAGACTGACCACCGAGTTGTACGCTAAAGAGCAGGAGATTCAGCGCTTGAACTCGAGCATCGCGGAATTGCAGAGGGAGGTGTCGCGTCTCCAGGGATTCGAGAGGCTTTCGAACGAGACCAGGGACGCCATACATAGGCTTAACCTGGAGAAAGAACAGGTTCGATTGGAAGCGCAAGAATTCCTGGAAGCGAAGCTGAAGGAAAAGGAGACGGAAATCGACGAGATAAAGCAGAGGCTGTCCATGGAGAACAGAAGCATCATGGATGAATTGCAGTTGAGGGACAGGGACATCGAGAATCTGAGAATACAGTTAGCGGAGTCTTCCAAGATGGAACAAACGGTAAAGGATAAGTTACACGAGAAGGAAGAGGAGTTTGTACGAGTGAACGCTGACTTGGCGGAGAAGGAACGTAGATTGGCTGAGTTGAGTATTACCAAGGACGCCGAGCTCCACAATCTCAAGGTTCAAATTCACGAGAGGGAAGTTCGCATAGAGGAGCTTCTGGCACTTTCGGACGAAGAAGAAAAACAGCTGAATGAGTTAAAAAATAACTTGGAGGCCAGGGAGATGGAAATCAATTCGTTGAAGACTCTTCTGGAGGATAAAGTGAAGGAGTACGAATTGATACAGAGTGTACTGAAGAAAGACGTCTCTCTTATGGGCACGGTTGCATCTGGAAGCATGGAAAGTTCTGGCGATGAGAACAAAGCGTCACCAGCTCAAGAATTGGACCTTGCTTTATACATGCTTCATCAACGGGACGTACGGTGCGAAGAATTGACGCTTGAGTTGATGCAACTGCTCGAAGAACGAGATACGTTGCAGTTGCGACTCTCTAACGCGATCAGAGTGAACGAAGAGTTGAGGAAAGTTGGGAGTTCTAACAGCCCTAAGCACGAGGTCTCTACTTCCAGGAGTGAGGAACCACTCGTAGAACATCCTTCTCCTTCGAAGTCAGAGGGACCTGTGGAAATAGCTAGGGAAGCCATTGATTCTCCTATCGGTGAAGACAAGGAGACTCTTGCTCAGAAGTACGTGAACAAATTTTATTCGAAACCAATGAATAACCGATCTTTTTCTTTCCTCCCATGTTATGCAACGCAAACAATCGTACATTTTTTAACAACTAATTTTGCTTAGCGTGTAGGAAAGCCCAAAACAAGCTTTTCAAGTTGATCCCTCCTTTCCTCCGTAGTCCTGTGTGATTTGTAAATATCATCCGATCTGATCGAGGTGTAGATGTGTTCTGACATGTAAATATGAATTCATTTCAAGAATACGCAACCAATTTTTGGAGTTCCTACAGAATTGTACGAACGCAAAGGTTTGATAAATGTTTATTTTAAAATCATGCTTCCGAGATACAATTGCCCCTTTAGATGTATTTGCTTGTAATTACGTGTAATAGTTCTCAATTTGAATAATTTATAAGGATACGAGTTTCCATGCGTAGGTATAAAAATATTAGCTGCTTGACACATTCACAATTATCTTCATTTGTCATGGTTAAAAACACGTCAAAGTATTACTAGTAGCACATAAGCTCCTTAGCACACTGTACAAGCTAGTTTTCCTTTAGGCTGTCGCAGTTGCATACGGTGAGCCATACAAAAGATGTAAGATTGAGGGATGAACGGGAGTTGAGGCATACACAACAAATGTCTTTGCTAGCACACAGAGACGTCCTAAGTACCTTACCTCCTGAAGCAGCTGCCAGGCTCGTCAATGCAAATTATACACTTTGTATGTACATAAGCAAATTTGAAGTTTGTTGATTATTTCCATTCTTCTTTAAATTTGTTTAGTTGGGATGTAATTTCTTTGTTTTCGATTACTTACGAATTTGAAGTTATAGTGGCGTCGAAAAGTTGCTGTAGCGATTTGTTTAGTTTAAAGAGGAATATAAAATTTAGCGACAATGTCGATAAAATAAATGTATCTTACAGCTAGGGATGTTCAGAGTCAATCGAGCGTCTTATTGAATTGGCTGTGGGGAAAAAGGTAGGCTATTATTTTGTTATTAATACACGTTAAATTTCATTCAAGATATTGTTTCTGTATACATACCAACTTTATTTTTAGGACTTCTTCGGTAGATTCTTCTACGCAAAAAGAATGCGTGTATGTATACAGATAATATTTATATTTTTTTATATTTCTAAACTTGCGTAACTATTCTTCATTTTTCTGTTATACTATGACTATATCTTCCATTTCTGTATACTGTCGTGTGAATGAGTTTGTCGAAGAAGACCTAAGAATACATGAGTGTGTCTGCTTTTACTTGAATTTACCGTTTCACAAGCATTACGCCGAATATTATCAATTTAAATACATCGATATATACGTGTAATTTCGTTATAGCACGCCAAAGGTCGTGCACATGTGATGGGACACTATTGACATTGAGGTGGACACCATCCTTGCCTTCTGGATACATTCCTGCCAAGTGCCAACTGCCAAGACTATTCCTGTAATTACACTAGACCGAAGAAGATGAACGGGATTACTGTTTAATAAAAGTTTCGGCTAGCTTGTCGTCGTTGTAAGTGCGTCATACTTGTGAAAAGTTTCACGCATCTTGCTTCGTCCAGGGGTTTAAAGATGTCTGTATTTTTGATGTGACACTTTTGAGCGGTGGTAACGGAGTCGTGCTTTCCAAGGCTTCTAAATAAAAAGTCCTCCTTCTCTTCGGCGCAGAAGAGACTGCGAGGAGAAGACTTAAACTGTATTATAATCGTTGTATAGTCATCGTGCTTAGGTACACTGCGAACGAAACATTGCCTTGGAGAAATGTGTATATTTCAGTTATTTTATTAGCTACGAAACTGTTAATAAAGTAAGATGTTCCTCGAGTATCGTTCGATATTCAACGGAAGTATGTTTGTTCCGACGATTATACTTTGTTAAACATGTGTTTGTGTAAATTGTTTAAGACTCGCCCAGTCATCCATTAAGAACATTTTCAAATGTGGCCTGCTGAGTGAAAACGAGAGATTCGAATAAAACTTTGACGAGTTACGCATCGATCGACGTACAATGTTAATTATTTCATATTTTGCCCATTAATGGAATGGTCTCGCAATTATCTGTTGCTTTTTAACGATGTTGATTGGAACTTTCTATTTCCGTGAAATTTTGTACAGAAAAAAGAATGCGTCGGCGAATAAATAAATCATAAGACGAAGTATTTGTTCATCGGAGGTGTTTACGGTGATTTTATTCCGACGAAGTGGTATGGTTTTTTTATTGTACACACAATTCTGATCCTATTACATGTGCCACCAATGTTTTATAATTATTTACAAACAGGTATCGTCGACATCTCGTTACAATTAAGATATTTAACTATTTACAGATATTACAGACTAACCGATCAGTCTTCAAGTACAGCAAACTTGCCCAAGCAAGCGGTACTTGATGGCTGGAACCTTTTTTTCTTATCAGAGTTATCCTGTCGATGGTATAATGTTAATATATACCACGGGGATTACGTTTTATGATTGGTAATTGAACGAGATGACACGAAGTAGAAGTCTTAAAAGATGAAAAGTGATTGCTTCGTTAATTGCGCATCCCTGTTGTGCGATTTTAAAAATAGATCCTGATTCTCGTATATCTCGTTACATAATATCAATTTCTTTCTTTCTGTTTAAGCATACTGTTTTCTTTCATACTTCCGGGAATTTTAGACATTGGAAATGAATCTTTGTTGTTAGTCGAAGCATAAACGATAGATTCGTGACTATCATGATACTCCGAATTGTCTATGTTACTTGAAACAGCTTTTCCACACTTGAGAGTTAATAACGTCATCACGCCAACAATGAAAAGACCGACAATGATCGACACAACAGCGACGGCTGGTCTCGAATATGATTGAAACTCGTCAGTGCTTACGTAACTTAACGCTAAGGGATTAGGTTCGTCCCAGCTGGTCCAGGTGTTGTTCCACAGTGCCGGGTTTGCTCTGGGATCACCATCCAGATTGCTGGGAGGTATAGTGGTAACTCTATACTTCAGTAGAATCCTTTCTAAGATTGCTAGGATTACCGGCCTCTTTTCAGCTAGATTCACCATCTCGCAAGGGTCCTTGTTTATATTGAATAGGCAGGGCGCCCTCATGGGATTGCAAGCAACCTATAAATCATATGTAAAGCGTGAATTTCTAAAGATGATTATGTGCCCTGACGTATCTTTTTATAAATTGTTATGACATATCAATTAGGTATATGGGTTAGAATTGCAGAAATTATTGTATTTTATAATTTATAAGGATAAGTAGACTTTTCGATGAAACTCATCGTGAGATCTTTCAAATGCTTAAGTTAAAAAAAGGTAATTATTGGAACGTATTGAAAACACTAGATATCTATACTAACTATACTATACTATACTACTCATGTAAAAATTCCTTATGAAAATTTGGACCGAAGTAGTGGCAGATGATATATCGAGTTACCCCACTTTACTGACCTCATCCTTCTGGTGAACGTTGCATTTTATTTGCGCGCTTCGTCGCAACTTCGTTATTTCCTCAGCGGTAAGTATACCGTCTCGAAAGTTCGTTTTCAAACCGATATCGTTCGCGTTTCTCATTACCCGTTTTTTTTTCTCATTCAGTTCCATCGCCTGGCTAGTAGTAATAACACCTGCGATAGCGACGCCCGCCTTGCTGTGCAACACTTTGTAAGGGTCGTATTCAGGTGAGACGCCTTCGGATGGGTCACCACTCGCTCCGAGCCAAGCGCTGCCAGTATCCGTTTGACCGATAACGTACTTGAAATCACCACGTCTGATTGCAGCGTAATTACTGAGGTCATCGATATTGATCAATATCTCGGACCTGGAGCTGATCTTGTTGGACACTAGAGCTGGCCAGAGGTTGAATCCGTCGATGTGCCCAAGGTATCTACTGTCCACTCCTGACAAATTATTCGTTGTTAAATTTTATAACGTATAGTTGCATGGTTGTATCTTCTACTACTAATTTTTAACAAACCTGCTGCAGATAGCAACGTGGGAAGCCAATCGGCGACAAACATCATCTGATTCGAGACCCTTCGCGACTTCTTGATCAAGGGACTCCAAATAGCCGCCACTCCTCTCACTCCGCCTTCCCAAGGGCTATCCTTTATCTGGAAGATTGCCAAAAATTTAACTTCAAGGTCCAATCACGTGGTTCGCGCGAAACGTCGAAGAAGAAGGATTTACCCCGCGAAGTGGATAATTGCTGCCCTGATTGCTCAGCACACCTTCAGTTGGGGCGCCGTTGTCGCTCATGAAAAGCACTATACTGTTCTCCAACATTCCACGGCTTCTCAAAGCGTCCATCACTTTACCTACACTTTGATCCAATTTTGACACGACAGCTGCAAGTGGGTGAGTCTTTATTTCTAACGTGATAACATTTTCTAAAAGTTATCGGATATTGTTCCGCATGACATCAATTTTTGTTACCTCGTTTATTTTGTTTACGAGACTAATCTATGACGTAACAAGTGCAACATATAAATGATTTTCCAAGAGAGACTAAATTTTTGTTCTTTAATTAAGCGCGTAGATTTAGTTGATAAAAAAAACTTTATAATCTTCGATGACTTAGAAAAGTCAGTGGTTACCAGCTTGAATTCTTCTTTCCGGATCAAGGATGTACGAGAACTTTGCGATCTCCTCATCTGGTGCGCGTAAAAGTTGATTTTGATTCCCTTTGTGAGGCGCCAGATGAGCCAAGTAGAGGAACATAGGTTGGTTAGCGTCGTGTTTGTTGATCAATTGTATCGCTTCCTTCGTGAAGAGATCCGTTGAGTATTTTCCCATGGTCTCCCAAGCAACTGTGAGATTTCGTCTCATGTCGAATCCTCTAAAACTACTGAATTCCGGGTCCTAAGGAACGTACTTAATATTAATTAATATTAATCTGTCTTATTTTTGGGAACAGCAAGGGGGACAATGGACGAGAAGTACCAGAAATTCAAGGAGGATGAAAAAACGCAAGGATACTGTTTACCAGTTACCGGAACTCTGTGTGAATGTTGCGTTGTCATTCTTGAAGTAATAGCCGGTATATTTACATAAGAATTTATAAAATCGAGCAATAAGAAGGCCCTTAAAGTGTGACAATAACGATTAGACTAATAGTCAAAATGTGACAATTTATATTCAAGCCAAGAAAAATTACAAATCTTGGGACACAACATAAAAGATTTAATACTACAACGAAAATAAAATTACAATGATAAACTGATGCGTTCCACATATGGTTTGCGCTATCACCAACTATCACTTATTAGTTCCCTTTATCTCTACATACGCGAGTGATAAGTTAAGAAAATGATAGACGGATTGATTCTGTACGTGTTAGAATTTGCTTGATTCAGTTATAGAAATATTGTTAGTGTATACGTTTGGGTGGTGTCCGACCTTGGCGCAGAAAAGAAAGTTTGACTTTGAAAGACGATGTCTCACACCCCGAAGTCGGAAAAATCTGACGAAAGAAACAATTGGTAATCTGTGGCAACGGGGTGATAATTCTTAATCAAGATTAGTATTTAAAACTATGTCTTACTATTAGCGACAATGGCGAAGGAGACGTTAAACGAGCGACAATGGTCGAGGAGGATGAGGAAAAGGAAGAAGAACGAAAATGCAAATGTCGACTTTCACCGTTTGAAGCACTTACACTGTGTGACTGTATAATACACACTATTCTATGTATCGTCAATTGTTTCCGTTAATAAACTATAAAGTAGGAGAGTGAGAAGACCATGCGCAAAGTGTGCGTGTATGTGCAAAATAAAAGTCTCCGTCTTGGCTTCTCTTCTTCACATAATTCCTATCAAACTATGGGATGTGCACAAATATCCACGGTCTACATAGCATATGTCCTTCATACTATGTATATCTGTACTGTTTATATTTCTGTGCTTCGACATATACCAAACATACGACACCGTTTGCTAGTTGTTTCCTTGATTGTATCTATCAATATGACAACAGCGGTCATTTATCAGCAAATGGCGGATACCATTCTTTCCTCTGTGCGATATAAACCTGATTACATCTATTCTTCGCGAAAGTAGGTTGATGGTTACCAGTTCTTGTGTGATGTGCGTATAATAATCCTGAAGACCGTTCCAGTAACCGAAGTGGGAATCGAAACCGCGATACGTCGGGGTATATTCTTTTTGGAAAAATCCTAGGTGCCATTTGCCAACAGCATGCGTCTTGTAGCCTAGTTCTTTCAAGTACTGCAATTAGGATAATTCCAAAAATATAAATAAGAAATAAAGCAATTTTTATGACTTTATAGGAAATGATGTAATATTGAATTGGGGAAGACCGATTCTTCTACCGCGTGTACCGTTAATTTCAGAAATGAGGGTTGGCAATGTCCAACTGCAGTAAAATTCTGTACGAATATTTTAGAAACGAGAATGGTGGTCAAGCGACGGGTGTCCATTTAAAAACCTACCTGGGGTAGTAGTTTCTCGCCTAAAGGAAGCCCTCGAGGCTCAGCAGGGAAAATAACGGAGTGTTGCATGCCGAGGTGAATTGGATATTTTCCAGTCATTAAGGCAGCTCTGCTGGGTGTACACAATGCGGAAACATAATGATTGTTTAAGATGATTCCATTGTACGCAAGGGCGTCGATGTTCGGCGTAGGTATCTGATCGGACCCATGGAAGCTCACGTCGTTCCACCCCTATATATACATATATATATATATATTCAATGGTGACATCTAATCAAGAGATTTATTCGAAAATATATTCAATCTTTTCAATTTAAAACGAGAAAAGTTAGTTTCACGAAAGAGTATGATATCTTAAGTTAGAATTATCATAGTGTACCTACCACAAAGTACGAAACTGAGAATTTCAAACCCCCTGGAACCCTTTTTGGAAGATTTTTTATTTACTGAAGATACAGTTGACATCCTTTAAGTTAACGATTTATTTGCTCACCATATCGTCAGCAAGAATAACAATAATGTGAGGCTTCCGATCGTGTCCCCCAAAATCCAGAGCTTCATTCTTCAATTTGACCGTGGCTGGAAGATCGGTTTTCGCCGTTGGACTCGAAACAAGCGATGAGAAGAAGAATGCAACCACTCTCGTTATCAGAAATTCCGATAGAAACAATACGACTAACAGGTGTGCTGCAAACGTGACGTTCATCTCGAAACCAGCTGGAACAATTCAAAGCAAGGATGTAAAACAAGTTGTACTTGACGAAGAAGAGGGATGGAACATATTGTGAATGTTAGAGAAAATGTAGAGGATTTCCGAAAGAAGTTTTAGGACTGTTTGTTTTAATATAAAGCCCCCCCCCCCCCCTGAAGGATTCTGCTAGAAATTAATGTTTTACGTAATAATTCAAGCACAGGCCAGAGATTTCGAACGAAGAGGAAGCTGCGTGCGTTCTCAAGTAAAAATCTTTCTCACCGTGACAGGAATAGAGAAGAACGGCCGTCGCGTGTCCTGTTAGTGGCGTGAACATCTCCATTTTTTGCGTTTACGTCCAAGAAGCATCTTTGCTTCAAATTGGCGCGAAAATGGATCAGCTCTTTGGCAACGCGTGAACCGACTGACTGGGAAACACGAGATGTCTTGGTTTATTATCACTTTGGATTTTCCGCTCGGTGGCAGAGGGGTGGGGGCGTCGAGGAGCAAAAGGAGGATCTGGAGCATAACAAAAGTTACTCCTAAGGGGGAGGAAAAAGGAGGTGGTGCGAAAACTTGGAACGACATCAGCGGTTTCCAGCGGCGCGCTTGAAAAGAACGGATCTCGTGGGTCTGAATTGTTTAATTCTTCGATTCTTTGCGACAAACACGCATTAGTTAATGACAGACACGGTTCAATTTTTATAGAGCGAATAGAACATTGAACACCCGATGGTCCCTTTTTATTTATTTTGCGATTCACTTTTATTTTTCAGCTCTATGTTAATGTATAAATGATACCTATGTTTAATTGACGTATGAAAAAGCAAGGGGAATTAATGAAATTCGACGTTTTAGCGAGACTAAGTACGCAAGTTTCACGCAGCATCGGAAAACAGATTGTTTTCTATTAGTTTTACAAATAGACCCGGCCATTTAAAGGAAACGATCACGTTAAGAACTCGGTAGCACGCGTTTAGGTCGTTAAAGCATATTTTTATCACGCAGTTGTCCTTTTAAGAAGAAAAAGGAAAGTAGCGAGCGCTATAACTGCTTCGTATCTAAACTCGTGCATGCAAATAGTAACTTCAATCTTCGTTGGAGAAACTTGGGAGTCTGCACGAACTTCATTATATAATTACGACGATGCATTTAATATTTTCTTTTTTTATTTATACTTCCCTTTACACATCTATCTTTATATTCTTTATCGCGATATATGAAGCGTATGTAAAGGATTTCGAGTAATTTATCGATGAAATGAGCATTTGTTTCTGATTGTCGCGACTCGATAACGAATCGCCAGTCGAATCCGATTTTCGACTAGCTCGACGGTGCTCTAGAGTCGACAAAGCTCGTTGTTTAAAACGACGATTCCCGAGGAATTTCTACTGGTCGTTGTAATAATTCACATTATCGGCACGAACGGGCGCCGCAGTTTGCCAAACACGAATTTGAATAATTAGACGGGAACGTAAATAAAATTTGCGCATCGCTCGGTGGCTGCGGTGGACGATTAAATTACCATTGGCGATGGTGTCGAGATTGTCATAAACGTATCGAACCTCCCTCGAAAATCGCCACGCTAATTACCGCTAATTCGCTCGTTTTGTTCCGATTGTCACGTTTCTCCCTTAAACGGGGCACGTGACGTTTCCGATGTCCCAACCGCAATATCCATCGAAAGTGCCTAAGCACGTGAAAAGTGAAACGGGCTAATTACGTAATGATCTCGCGTTCGATACTGATTCCAAGCATTTAACGTCGCATTAATATACGTTAATCGATCGTTCCACCTCGGTGGACAAGCCTTCTTGTCGCTTACTTAATTTATCGTAGGATTTTTATCTGGATATACAATAAATAGGAAAAATATAATTGAACCACAATTTCTGAAGAATAGTATACAGTGACTGTAAATTATGATATCTATTCATCATTTGTTGCCGAAGAAATTTTGCTTGTTTTTATACAGTTTTTT